CCACTGTACCTAATTTGTATGTATACGGTGAGTAATTTGCCGTAGGAACGTTTTCCGACTTCACGAATTTGGGCCTCCATTGTCGATTTGCTTACTTAGATCAGCATTCAGCGTTTGTACAGAATGTAACAGAAAGGGCTATGGCTCGGTGTGAAGCTGGTTTCGGACATTGCTACTGTCTTACCTCAGCCGACTCTTCCTCTACAAGTTATTCCTTGCCAAGTTCCTCCACGCTTTGAGCCCGGTATTTGGCGGCTTTGACTGGCCGCATTAGGGTGACATTTCTAGCCGGTTCATCTGCGTCCAACGCGACTGCGGGTGCGCACGGTTCCTTGTGGCTGCGGCGCCTGCGGTCACTCCGCGGCCGACACGCCGATGATTGAGCGACGAGGTAAGCTGGATCTGCGCCTATCTTTGTGGCCGGCTTAGCGCGCTCTTTGGGCGCCGGCGGCGCAGTGAGGCGATATTGCCGCGGGCGGCATTAGTGGCTCGGCGCGCCTGAGCCGTCGCGCCGGCCTAATGGAGTTCTGCCGGGCGGGCGCGGATTTTTGGCCGTCGCCGGCGCCGTCAAACAATGATGTATGATACTGTCACCGCGGGGATGCGTCGGCACCGCCGCAGGGCTCATGCTGCCAGCGTGCGAAAGTTAAACTCGTCAAGTGCGAGGAAGTGCGAACAAGATAAAACTGTCACGCTCTGGTGTAAGCTTATTAACATTTTATTAACTTATTAACATCGTTCTGATTTTTGTCTCCATAAAAAACATTCCAGAAATTTATCAAATTGAAGTCATAACTCATAATGGTCCCTATCACTAGCTGATGTAGAGAAGTCGCCTTCTACAGACCTCCATCCATAATTAACCCGCGCCATGCTGGGGGGGGGGGGGGGGGGTGTTTGAACACACCCCCCCCTTGTGGTTTTTCGCGAATCGTTTTTGGTACACCTTATCATACATCAATTCTACACATGTTGTGAAAATTTCAGACCAAGGTCATTCGAGTTCAGGTCACCAGGTCACTTGAAGTGACCTCACCTCATAAAAAGTTTCAATGTCTGTCATAGCTACACCGAGTGACCGATCGCTTTGAAACTTTCAGCGATTGCTAAGAGCAATAGCATGTACAAAATTTATATCTCAGAATTTTGATATCGATGACCTAAAGTCAGGTCAATTTTGCAACCTCCCCATTATAAGTCAATGGGAGAAAATTGAAATGCGCCTCTTTTGGACAAAAGACATTATAAACACTCCCAAACACCGAATTACAAGTGGTTTAGACACACTGAACATGAAAATGGTGTCCGTGACCCTTGTTTATGCCCTGAGGTCATCTGAGGTCAAGAATGGTATCTAACAGTTTTTCGCAAATAACTTTTGATAGAGGCATGCTAGAGCGATGAAAACGCCTTAGATGTGTTCAGCTCGACGATAGGGATCGACTGATATGCAACATGACCCTTTCCGGTCAGGTCATGACCTTGACCTGAGGTCAAATTTTCAAGTTGACCTTTCAAGGTCAACTTATAGTTCATTCGATGCGTCTTGACGTGAGGAACACAATGCCGGTAAAAGTAAGCTCGTACAAGGCTTGGGTCCAAAGTTATTGCAGAAAAACTGTTTCCCTAAAAAAATCGGCTATTTTTGCAGTTTTTGCCCCCTGCAGGCAAAACCGTTGACGTTAGGTCAAATCTGAGAAAATAACTCAGAAAGGGCTTTAATAGGGCTTTCGAATGCGCTTTTCCGCGGCGCTGTAGCTCTATTGGTTCTCGAGTTATGCGTTGGCTTCTTGGAAATTTTCGATATTCGACCTGGAAATCGGCGAAATTTTGCCTTCAATGACCTCTGGTGACCTGACCTTTGACCTGACCAAAAAATTGACCGAAGTGATTTCGTCATTATTTTTGACGCTTTTTCGAACGCCGCCTTCCGCGTATCGCTACGTGGCCCAGAAGCCGAGTTACAAGGGGGGGGGGTGTTCAAACACCCCCCCCCCCCCAGCAGGGCGTGGAAATCCAGGACCCCCAGCCGGGCGCGGGTTAAAGAGTGGTGAGACTGTCACTAGGCTTGAAAAGGATTCGGCAATCGACAAAACTAAGGAAGCAAAGGACGGTAATATCAGTGCCTAAAGAAGAGATACTCACCGCAAAAATTAGGCAGTTCCATCAACTGATAAACATAAGATTTAAAATCGCCCACATCGCCCTAACCTTTTTTCAAGTTCTTCATTTCTTCTTAAAGGGACCCTCCCACCTTAAAAAAGTTAATGAATTTGCATAAAGTGATGCACCGTGGTTCAGAAAGAGAAAAAATGAATACCTACCAAATCGCACCAAAAAGGTTAACCAGTTTATTAAATATTAGGCTTTTATTTGGGGGGCCTCCGCTGTTCTTATGACGCCATTTGGAAGCAATAATTCGGTATGAAAGTGTGACAGATGTTGCGCGCAGGTTATATGAACTACTGCAGCAACAATTATCCTTTCCAAGGTTTTAGTATAAGATTTAAAAATATTCTAGATCTGCGGTGATGTCACAATGTCTAATTCATATTCATTAGCCCATAGACCTCTGTACACCGGTATACAGAGGTCTATGATTAGCCCCTTAGAATCCGAAAAATGCAGACTGTAATTAGATATCTCCGAAGTAAAGCCTTTCTCGATGCTGTAAGTGTCCAAACCGGTAATTTGAAGCCAGGGACCCCAATATGGCTGGCTCAACTCTAAACCAACGCTAAGGTGGGATGGTCACTTAACAAGTAACCTCATACACCTGCCCGCCTGTATAACTATTTATTGTATATCAATATTAATCGGTCTTGTTAATCTTCTGGGCCAACATATCTCAATCCTTTACCATACTCCCTTACAACTGCACCAGCCACAGACAAACGGCGGTGTAAGCAGTTTTAGTGAGAGAATGCCCCTCTGGTATGATAACTTGGTGGACTGGGTGCGATCGAGTATCGAGGCCCGGTTGTTCCAACAGGACAAGTTCAACCACTGCGTCACACCAGCCGGGAAGGTCGAATCAGCCCATGTGTCCCCCATTAGCCGTTTTCACGACGGGCTATCCGGCGAATGCACCTGATTTGACCAAGTCCAAATCTGCACCTAATTTCTTTTACAGCAAATATCTTCATTTTATGAATTTATTTCAGTGTTTTAATCAATAATGCTCTCTGATAATATGACAAAGCAAGCATATAAGCAATTAGTGCAACCCTAGCTGATAGCTGCTAAGAGACACACTGAACCTGATTTGACCAAATCTGCACCTAATCTGTACCAGATGTGCACCAAATGTGTACCAGATGGCCGTCGTGAAAACGGCTATTATCCACTCGCTGACGGCCCTGAAATTCCTCTGAATCTGATTAACCAAACATGCAAAAATGTCTTCTTAAAACGAATTTATAGAAAATATAAGAAAGATGTAATCCCCATTGTAAATTGTACTCAGTGGTGGATCCAGGGGAGGCGGGGGGGGGGGGCATTTAGGGCCATAGCCCCCTCAAAGACCTGAGTTTTAACATTACGCCTAAGGCGGTGCATGGAAAGAAAGGGGCCGTTTCGGCCATTTGCCCCCCCCCCCTCCCCCAAAAGAAAACGTCCGGCTGGATCCGCCAATGATTGTGTTGGCTCTTTGTGTCCGATCTGACCTGGGGTCCCCACTCGCCTTTGCCTATAAAAGCAGTTCAGTTTCCACTTAGGCCACTGCGCCCCTTGTTGCTAGACTGTTCTGGATGGCAGCACGCGTGTTTTAGGCTGCGCAAAACAGTCAGGTATGGCCCACACCCTGAAAATGTTTTATCAACTGAATACTTTATAAATGCTTTAGCATTTTAGGTTTCTCTGTCAGTTGACTGATTCAATGCTCGTAGGCGAATCCAGAAAGGCGATCCCGGACGCCGCTGAGGCAATATCCCCCAAAAACGTTACTACAAATACTACAAGTTACAAAAACACATCGAATTTCGATTCTTTTCGCACTGCCGTGCACGTTAAAGCAAACTTCTATAACTTATAGTATGTATATACCTACCAATGATTTATTTTCAACTACCTAAGTAGGTATGATCTTAAAAGTTACCTGTCACTAACTTTCGATTTATTGGCGATAATGGCCGTTTTCACGATTGCTTATCGGGCGAATGCACCAAATTTAGCCAAAAGTAAACAACTCTTCTTTACAGCAAGTAACTTCATATGATGAATCCATTTCAATGTTTTAACGGAAACTAATATCTAATAATTTGACGGATCGAGTAATCGTGTTCTGCGACCTTAGCCGAAAACTACTAAGAATCAACCATAAACCTAATTTGACTAAATCGCACCAAATGCGATCAAATGTTCCGTCGAGAAAACGGCTAATAAAACCACATCCTTTGAACCTTACGTAACACCCTTCAGCCCTGTACCTATAAATGTTCAAATTACAGAGTTGTGCTGCTTTTCTGCTTCAAGTGTGCCAAATTTTACCCTTTACATTGCAACTATCGTTCGAAACATTCAGACGAAGTTAAATTTGACTACTCCGATAGCGGCAAACTATTAGAACTTGGCCAATGGCCACCCATGCTAGACTTCAGGAAATTGGTTCTCTCGACCATTTGGAAACGAATATCCCCTTGAAAAATGGTGCTCAGACACTATCCACTGGTAGCTATCGGGAGCATACGTCTCGCTCGACGGGCCAGCTCGTTTTTGGATGGTCTGGAAGGGCCTGCCGTCTATGGGGCTCATTTATCATGCACTCTCGATATAATTTCTCTGCGTCCGGTTGGGAGCCGGTGCCGGGGCGGCGGCGGCGGCCGGGCGCGGGCAGGACGGTCGTTAGGAGGGACCACTCGGGCTGTGGGGGTGGTGCCAGGCCGGCAGACAGGGCGTGGCCTGCCGCCGGCGCACCGCCCCCTCCCGGCGGCCGCGCGCCGCGCCGACCGGTGACGTCACCGGTGAGCTGTGACGTCAGCGGGTGGCTGGGCGGCGGCGGCGGCAGTCGGCCGGCGGCGGGCGGGGGCGGCGGCCGCGCCGACTAGACGTTGTCAGACGGGCCGGCGCCGCGGGCGGAACGACAGGTCGGGAGCAGCTCAGGTCAGTCGGCCGACACTGGCCCAGACTTCTGATGTGTTCGTTTGCTTGTGTTTTTTTCCAGCTGCATGCCTATCGTGTTATGCATCTTATCAGCAAGCCTAGCCGCATTGTCATATTGTGGTTACGATTTTGCTTTTTCTTTCATCCAATAATAATTTTATTTGAAAATATTCATTATCAGCCTTTGCCAAAATGGCATACTAGCCATACCTAATACCGCTATAACTTATAATCAACTTGCTATATTATGTTATCCGAGTAGGTAGGCTAATTTTGCATGTTTCGTGTAGTTCGAAGTTGGAACGCAAGAATCTCCTATCATCAGACATCGCATGCAGGACATCATATGTAAGAAACTTGCTTTCCCGTTCTAACTTAATTAACACCTTTTAAAGCAGTGGTCGGCAGGTCATTCGGGGTCGTGCCCCCTTTTTGGGCGCCAGACAGGGCCATTACCCCCACCTACCAGACCCCATTGCTGACACAACTAAGTTTAGGTACTGAAATTCCATACCGTCCTGGAACTCTTTGGGTATTTGTGCATTTCCAATGCATCAAATTTAAAACATGACACTTCCTCCACAAAACATTTAATGCCTATATCCCAGTAGCGGCGGAACACCTTCAATTAAGGGGGAGAGGGGAGCACTGCCGACTTTTGGTCCCATTCTTTCCATGCAACGCCCATAGGGCTAATGTTAAAATGCAAAAATCAAAGGGTGCACGGTGCCCCAGTGCCCTCCCCGTTCCGCCGCCTATGCTATATCCCATTTAACCCTTGTACGTATAGGGGCGGCGGATGGTTTTTCGTTAAAAGCTCACGTAAAAGGCATTGGATCACGACCAAATTGTACCCTCTAGCCCATCATTTTTTTTTTTCACCAGCCCGGAAAATATCATGACCTGAGACCAGTTTTACCAACAGAAAAATAACCGCCTGCCGGAATTTTTGCCTCAAGACCGCTTCACATACGGAGCGTAAACGCGATGGGCTCGTAAGCGGATAAGGATTTACCGTTTACGATCCATATGTGAAACGATCTTTAGGCAAAAATTCCGGCAGGCGGCTATTTTTCTGTTGGTAAAACTGGCCTCTGGATCCATAATGACCGTTGGCTTATGAGCTTTTTCTGGAGATCATCTTGAGCCATAAAATCTCACTTCAAGAAGTTATAGCGGGTCCCGATTTTCTCGACACTTATCATTGCCCTCTTGAATGAGACGGAATGACCAAGGACCTTAAAAATGGGCAGCAGCGGCTTCCTATGGTCACGGGTAGCACGCTCGTCTTTTTTATCCACAGCTCCATATCAGAGTCCGAGAGGCCGCGGGGTCCGATCGACTCCTCCCCCTTACGTTAGCGGCTGTTGAAACGCCAACAGACGGGCGACGGTTAAAAGTTGCAGCTGCTTTTGAACGACTGTACGGAGGGGTGAGATGATGAGGCGAGCACGGAGCAGGTACGTGAAAATTGGTATCTAATCAATAGTGTGCTGTGCCTTTGGCCTGGGCTAATCTTTGAACCCTGGGATGCAACAGTCACGATGGCTCCATCACTGGAGCTACAAACTCTAAAAAGATAGGCTTTCTCAGAATCCCTCATTACCCCCACCGAAAGGGCTCCATTACCCCCAAAGGGGGCATGCCCCACCATTTGCCGACCCCTGTTTTAAAGTATTGGATCCTAGCTTTGTTTTTACATGATATTTGTCTGTATGTAATACTTCATAAACGCTATTCGGATTCAGAATACTGTGACATTCATTTTGATCAGCGTGGCAGGAAGTGACTTATTCTTGTGGTTTCCTCTTTACCCTTGATACGGCTCAGAGAAGGCTAGCAAAGAAACCGTAAAAAGCAGTTTGGGATCTGTGTAGACCTTACGTCCCATTTATTAGGGAATGTATACAGTTTTTGTTTTATCGCAGCAGTCCCATCGCAAGCGAGGCGCGTCTCAGCTGACGTTTTTGGCAAGCCTCCCTCTTTGGAGCCACCTGTAGAATAAGAAGCGCTCCCTCCATCCCTGTCGCCTTATTTTGCCGGCACCTCCCCATCGCCGGCGCCGCAGTCGGAGCGGGCCGCTGCACCTCCCAGTCCCCAATGCCTGTGGTCGAGGAGGGGAGAAGACCAACCCGGCGGTCCCTGCGGACCTCGCCGCGGGTCATTGGTCAGTTCCTCGACCTGTGCCTCTGCTGCTCCCCAGTGACCGCTCTTCTTTCTTTCTCTCTCTCTCTCTCTCTCTCTCTCTCTCTCTCTCTCTCTCTCTCTCTCTCTCTCTCTCTCTCTCTCTCTCTCTCTCTCTCTCCTCTCTCTCTCCTCTCTCTCCCCCTCTCTCCCCCTCTCTCTCTCTTTCTCTCTCCCTCTCTCTCTCCCTCTCTCTCTTTCTCTCCTCTTGTCCCTCAGTTTCTGTCCACCTTTCCGTCTCCTTTTCCTTTCCTTCTCTCACTGCTGTCCTCTGTCTCTTCTTGCTCCATCCCTCTCTCCCCCTCCATTCTCTGCTGACGCCATTTGTATGCAAGTGACGGAGCGAGCTCGTTCCTTCACAATAAAAATGCAATTCATGCCGGTCTCGAATTAAGCGTCATTCCTGCCACTCTGTCCTCTGAAGAGAGGCGGCGTGGCCTCTTAGCCTTCGAGCGATAGAAAGATACTAGCTTCCGTGTAGCTAGGAGAGACAGTTTTGATTATTTATCTCACAGTTAATTAGGTAACAATATTTTATCCTTACTTATTTCTTGTGGCAAGAAGTATGAACTCTATTAATACGGAATCATAGAGTCACTTACTAATTATACTGATGATAATAACTATCGTATTAAAAGTCTACGAAGTTTGCGAATGTTTTAGTATCTATGCATACCTACTCTTTGTGTGCCTCCGCTGGTTTATGGCAGCTTTATCTTTGTGGGATTAATGTTTTAGCTAACTTTTACTTCATTGCGTCTTCTTTTTGTTTTCTAGAGCTATAAACTCGTCATCCAAAGCTTATTTGACAAACATCAAGAAAACTATATCTGGCATTAAATGTGGGATATCTGAACGGATAAAAATGCTGCCGTTCGACGAGCTGAATAAACACCGAATGATCCAGAACTAAAGATAAACAGTCGATAATAGTTCCTTTAGTTTATTACCTCATTTGTCCTAGCTCAGTCTGCTTATTTGTTTGAGCCGGTCTGGAAGTAAATGAGGAGCTGAGACACGTTGATGTTCAGCTCCGGTGGCACGCCTTCTGCCTTTGAACCGAATGCCGGGCTGTATGACATCACATGTCGGCTGAGGAATTTGCGATGTGTCTCGGCTGGCAGGTACCGGCACCTCAATTTGCCACCCAAGTGAAATATTACTCTCCAAATGGTCACAAAGTACTACCGGGACGTAGTTTGATGGCAGTCAACTGCTACATGCCTTTCCAATGACATCATGCGCGGGTGAACGGTGGAGTTAGGACTGGTACGATACACGGTGCCGGGCGCAGTGTGTGTCTATGATTAGTATTCACCATCCATCGCATTACCGTCTACACTCCGTTCAGCGAAACGGCCGTATTTACCTCAGTATCTCCCCAACCGAGGGAGTGTTTGTAAACACACTGTGACTCAGCTCAGCTCATCTGTCTTCGGGTTCGTCTGAGCTTAGCCCAACACACGCGGCACGTTTGCCATTCGGGTCGACGCAGCCGACGTGCGTCGTCGCCTGTCTCTCGCGATAAAACCTGCCCGTCTGCCTCCCAGACCGCCTGCCGAACATTTATGCCGTGTAGTTGAACTTGACGGCCTTGTGTGATGCTATTCCCGACCTACTTTGGCCGCTGTGTAACCCTATGCCACCCTAGTGCCAGTTATGCCGCGACTGAATTTGATGGAATGGCAGGCTGAAAGGTCGATAGCCGACTAAAGATAATCATTTGAGCGCCGGTTCAGCCCCGGCCTCGTAAAGGTCTATTAGCTGTGGAAATATGATAACCATTGGAGGCCGTTATGACCATCAGGCGCCTAATGCGGTGTGCTATTACACATTCCCGAGTGATGAATTAATATTGATGGAGTTTATTTGCTGCCGTTGTGATATGCAAGAGGAATTGTGTTCATGCTTATGGACGGCGACTGCGGACATGCGTGAGCATTGAGCAACCGAGGTACGGCATGGCAATCGCTTAGTTGACCGCCGGTTCTGTCTGGCCTGGCTTGCTATTTATGTCCTACCTTACCCACTGTCTCAAGTTGTCTTGTTCACTGTCCTGTTCTTTGTTGTCCTGTCCTTCTTTCCCCTTATCCCTTTCAGGCCATGATCTGTCCCTCCTGCAGTCGCCTCCATAGATCTGCAACCCGCTCCATCCCTTTGGCATCCCTCTCTCTACGGGACAGCAATTGCAGTACTCAGCGTGAGACCGAGACAATCTATATGCGATCGGCTGTCACCGGCCAGCAGAGAGGAACTGTTACTACCCCGTGCACCGGCACTGGCGCCGCTCTTTGTCTCCGAGGAGATGCTTTGTCTCCCGTCGTGACCACTCATCTCCTCGTGGAGTCGACTGTTCCACCGTAAGAGTGGCTGGTTTGGGAGGCTGATTGCACAGTCAACCCCCTACCCTAGTCGAGTGGTTTGGCTCTTAGGAATGTGTCCTATCGAGGCTGGCTGTTGCCGAGGCGGGAGACCTTCTGTCTCCTTTCTAGGCCTTCTGGCTCCTGCTGAAGACATTGTCTCCTGTACAGACCTTTTGTCTCGTGTTGAAAGCTTTATCTGCTGAGCGCCTGCTCTACTGATAGCTCAGTGGACCGGTTCGCCCTCAAATGACCCAGCTGTTGCCTGGGCTGAAAGTATCGGCGGCTGGTGCTCGCCTGCCGGGCCGTAAGGAGCCATTTGCATATCAGCCACTCCAGCAGCGGCCATCAAAGTTGCGCTGTGTGGCATATTCCGCAGGGGAACGGCCCATCGGCCGGTGCGGGGCGCGCCTGGTGCCGGGGAGGGTCGGCGGGACCGGACCGGGTAGCAGACCG